CCCATCCCAGCATGTCTCTCGTCGTGATGTGCCGGTCATGGCACCATGGCACATTTTCTATGATGGTGCCTAAATATGTACATATGAGAACAAATGAAGGCACTGTTCTACAGCGTGTTATATTACAGCATGTATTTACATACATTTATTTATCATGAAGTAGTTGTGTTATTCTTTGTTATAACTTTATAGGGAAGTAAAATATTGTATAAGACAGATATTAGTATTATAACAGTGTCAGAAAAAGAGACTTGGAGAAAAGTTAGCAACAAGCTTAAAAAAGAAGTTGATTTCTTATATAAGCTATTAATAGTGCATTATCTTCATAATCATGTAAATGATATTTTTACATGTAGGAATATGCTGAAACCAAATAAAAAAGCTTGATACTCTGTGCACTATTTAGTTGTTTTCATTTTATGTATGTAGGAACCCAGAGTGCTGCCAAAATACTAGGCTGCCTATAGACATGCTGTTTCATGTTCTAATTAGAATGCGTCAGAACAGACTCCAGCAGATTGAGTCTGCTCCACACTCTAATTAGAATGCTCCAGTGTCACCTCACCGTCACAGGTATTATTACCCCCCACATTTCAAAATGGCCACGGGGTACTTTAACTAAACTTCATTGAATAAATAATCTCTTGTTAAAGCACCCCCGTGCTCCCACCCCAAGCCATTTTGAAATGTGGAGGAGGTGGAGGGGTTTATTACAAGTGAAGGGGAGCCATTTTAATTAGAGTGGCTGTCCAGGAACCACTCAAACTAAAATGCCACCCCCACAACCTCCAAGCACATAGGCAGCCGAGAGTCTGAAATGATGCAACTTTGCTGTCAATTTCAAGTGTCATGATTGGTTAGAATAGGTATTTTTCGCCTGCTGAAAATTTAGCAACATTTAAAAATAAATTTTATTTCCATAGCAGTTTCAGTGGAAAACTTTGAATTTTAATAAAACAACAAAAAAGAAGGCCCCATAATTATAGGATCATAGGAAAGTAGGGCTGGTAGGCACCTCATGAGGTCATCTAGTACAGCCCCCTGCTTAAGACAGAATCATCCCTGACTAAACCGTCCCAGGCAGGCATCTGTCAAACCACAATGACTTTGACTATAGCAGTGACTGGAAAAGCAATAGCATACTTATGAATTAAATTAATTACAGAGAACAAAGCTTTCTTGAACCTAATATTCTAAACTTGATGGAACCATTAAAGCCAGTAAGAGCATATGTGGTGAAAAATATTTTTCAAATACACACTGACACAGTTAATGTCACTAGCCTTGGATGGAGGAAACAGGTCAATGTCCCTATCCTACCCATCTCGGAGTGATTTGCAAATTAGAACCATGCAATTAAAGGGACCAGGGAATTGAACCTGGATCTCCCACACCCCTAGCCAGTATCCTATTCAGCACATGAAAACACCTCACAGAACTGACAATAGGACTTCTCAGCACAATTCTGAATTTGTGAAAGTTTTCAGAAAGTCAAAAGTTGCCATAAATGGAATAATCATCTTCCAGTCTACTCTAATAGCTATTTTAAGAGTTTTTGCACAAAGGAACATTATTTCCTTTCCTAATACAAAAATTGATACCACATCATTTGTGAATATGACAGCATTGATCATAAGACTGTAACCTCATGGATTTAACAAGGTATACAGATACTTTCCTTATTAAAATGTCACAGTTGTGAGTTCCTTTATTGTCACAGTTGTGAGTCCCTTGTAGTTGAGGATAATGTTGCCTCAGTTGGGACTGTCAAGTCAAGCAGATGATAGCACAAGCCTAGACATAATAAGCACCTGTGGTCAGCTATGACCACCAACAACAACACTATGCCCATCACTGTTGCTCATCAATTGCTATTGGACTTCTCACCAATACTAGAAGTTGCAGCATTCACTGCATGTGAAATAGTGTTTGTGAAGGAACTGCCCCTGCTACATTTCATCACATTAATCTGGTAGTTGACTAAAATAAGAGATCCAGCAGAATCAAAAGGGCAGTCCATGGCTGTTGAAAAATCCTAAGGCAATGCAGTCTGAATGAGGCAACTAAAGCCCTGCAATAACCTCTTCTCAATGACTAGCACACAACAGTCAACCACCTTGGGTAGCCTTGATGTCATAGGTGCCAACTTTGGTTTTTCCGGTGGGTGCTTTGGCCCTACTTCTGCCCTACTCACATCCACTACCTCACCATGAATCATGGTGCACTGGTTTAATTTCACCTTCCTGTGCAGCCATGTCATGTGCTTCTGCTGCTTACTGGTACCAGCTTGTAAAAGCTTAGTTTTAGGGCAAAATTTTTAACATAATAGATCAAACATGCATCGCATAAAACTAAAATGGCTTATGGATCCTGATCACCCATGGAGTCGGTGCCTATGCTTTATGTAATTGGGTTGCTTCACTAGCTGTGCTATTGGTACCAGCATTTTGAGGCCAGGCTTTTTCCAAAAGCTTTGGTCAGTCTCATATTCCAACAAGGACCCACTCATGTGTACTTTCACCAGTTGCTCAAACTTTTTCTCAGGTTGTAACGGCTGCAGTCAAAAATCATAACTACTTGGATTGCTATGCACTGTTAGTTATAAGACTGTAGACCACTACCTAGAAGCTACCTCCATAGGCTACAAGGCCAACCAGATAAAGAATCATTGCCCATTGAGAAGGATACCCATCCTGTCTCTTAGTAAAAAATCTCCAATGGAAGATTTCACAACTAGCATAATGTTCCAGCATAATGCCTATCCAGAGTAATATTACATCATTACAAAAGGAAAAAAACACAAAACCTGATGCTGATGTCATATACATGTGACTTAGAAGAAACTCCATTGAAGATCACACATTATTTATTTTGATTTTATAAACAGGTCTTTAATGGCATCTTCCTTTGTCTAAGGCACTTAGCCACAAGTTTAGAAATACAAATCATGTTAAGTGAATGGAAAAATCATGGCCAATATTCCAAAAGCAGGCATAATTCTCAAAAAAGGGATTTCATCAACTTGTACTATTAAAAGCTAATTAATATTATGAAAACTAAGTGCTCATTTTAATTGCTAAAAAAGATACATCTCTTGAGGTGAAGTGGGGCTCCCTGACTAGCCACAGTGCTAATTTCCCCATTTGCCTTTGGGCATGCCACTCACCTGTCTCTCCTGCCATGCCTTGTTGTTTATTAATTACAATATTAATTAAGGTGGGAGGCTTCCCATTCTTTCCCCAATGCCAGGGGGTGCTATCTGTGGGTCCATTCCTCCCACACACCACAGCCCAAGCCTCACAGATGGCATCCAGATGACACAGTGCTCCTGGCTTACTGCCGGACCAAGCTTAGGCCTCATTGTCAGGCCTCAGACACTCATATTCATACCACCCTCTTCTCACGAGGGCCTCTCACACTCCACCCCCTCTCACTGGGTCTGTTTCATGCATCAACAACTTATGCTACCTTGCTCCCTCTTGGAGCGGGCCCCTTGGGCCATAGGCTTAGCTAGTTCACACCTTGCGTGGCAGATGTACCATCTTTTGGGCCTCTCCTGCAACCCTCACTGGGGTAGCCAATTACCCAACCAGGTCCAAGCTTGCTCTGGCCCCTTCCAGGGGCAACTCTATACATAAACATACTGGGCACTCAGCCCTCTGGCTCTCCTTCCCCCCACTGGGGCTCCTCATCTCCACCCCCTTTCTGGGACCACCTTTCACTGGGGCATTCTTATCCCACACTATGACTGGTGCTCTGGGCTCTCATGGGGACTCTCACTCCCCTCCTGGAGCAGCATGTCATTGTGCTCCACTATAGGTCTTGCTTTCGACCCACACTCGGCCTCCCAGTGGTGGAGGACTTACCGGGGTCAGGACTCACCCCTGACTCTTGGACTGATCCCCCTTACTTGGCTTCTGGCCCAAACTACGGCCTCAGGTGTCTGGAGACATACCTAGGCCTACTCCCCTCACTGGGGCCCCACAACGCCCCCTCACTTGGGGCTATGTGGCTTCCCTTCCCGGTGGGCTCAGGTGGCTGCAGCCATGCCTGGCCCCAGCTCTTCCTCTTCAGGGTCTTGCACCTCATAGGGCCCAGGTGGCCATTGCCATGCCTGGCCCAACTACCTCTGATGTTATAAGACCCACCCAAAGGTGAGGGCTAGGGTCAAGGCACCCCTACCCACCTTTCACTGGGGTGATAGCTGGCCTGGCATTTCCTGGGGGCTCCCACGCCACTGAGAGCCCCACCAGGCCACCCACTTCTGGCAGAGTGCAGTTTTAGGTCATGCCCAGGACCAGGAGCCTCCAAACCATCCCCTACAGATCCTGCCCTTACCTCCAGGATGCTATGGAACCTTGCAGCCAGCCAATGTTACTACCTGGCTTGCCAGCAATGAACTGCCTTGTTTATATGGGCAGCCAGAGATTTAAAATGGCCACCACAATCAAGCACCTGCTGGCTGCTTGGCTCTGCTCTTAAAGCGGCAGGCACCAACAGTATCCTGTCACACACCTTCCCCCTTAAAATAGTTCCTGGGGGAGGTTTCCCCTGCTGTTCCTCCAAAGCAGGCTCCCCTTGGAGCCTGTGAGAGCCCTCAAGTGGCGAGCACCCCCAAAGGTGCTCCGCCACACACTGGCATAGCTGATGTACATCAGCTGTCTTAATGTAAAAGCACAGTGAAGATGAGAAATGTTAGAGTCAGTTTGAGATCAGCTTTCCTCCTCCTTGGGATTGACCACCTGAGTGTACCTCACAGAGACAGAAAAGCATTTAGTCTTCACTGTGCTTTTGTTTTGGGATAACTGATGTGCATTGACTACCCTGTAGCAAATCCCGCCCCCCCCCCAAAAAAAACCCCCAGGGTTTTTTAGCAGTGAAGAAAACCCCTAGCACACTACATCAAAACCATTAAGATGTTTCCTTTTTCAGCTTTTTATAGATTTCTTACAGCTATGCTTACAATAGGACAAGCACTTAAAGATGTTCATCCTACCTGCAGTAATTTCAAATGCAAGTGGAATTCCATTGTCAACTCCGTTCTTGATGTTCAAAGTGACTATAGCTGGCATTACAAATTGGAATGCCCTTGATCTGCATATAGCCCAAAATTATTTCATTGAAACGTTAACCCTTTGATATTTAACTACTGTTCTCCAGTCAACCATAAACTTCCACTGAAATCAATAGCCTGCATATAGTACACACAGTAGCAGGGTACGTATTTCCCTTTGAGACATATATGGAATCGGTAGAGACAGGCAATTTCACCTTTAAAATATTCATTAGCTGTGGATATTGTAAACTTTCTTTGGCAGGTAGACCAGCCTGATATTTTGGGGGTTTGATATCCAAATCCAATATTTATAACAAGGAATTCAGTCACCA